AAAAGACAGCCACCAAAACTTAATCTTTAGAAGAAGTAAAGTCAGAGCATCAAATTAAATAGAGAATACAGCAAGATTTTCATCTTACAACTCATCTGTTATTTCGGAACTGATAAAATTATCACGATTGGTCGGCATTAAATATATCAACCAGCATTATTAGAATTCAACCCTGATGTGGGTTGGCTGGTATAAGCTAGGCCTGTCACACTGTTTGAACACGTTTGTGTCAACTCATGGTCGACTCACACGGCGGCCAGTTTCCTGGACAAACGTCGTCCCGAGGAAGTGAGTGGCGTTCTAAGAAAGATCGTAAACGTCGTCTGGTCTCATAGCGAAGGTTTTGTATACATAGCTAGAAACGTATATTTCATCAAAGGAATTGGGACAGCGAAGGAAACTATTTAGTACACTTGTACTTTAGAGTAGTACAAGTGTACTAATAATACTGTAATAGTTAGTACAACAATTGAGTACACTAGTACTTTAGAATTGGTACACTTAGGAAACTATTTAGTTTCCTACCTATTTAGTTTCCTACTATTCCTACACTTAGGAAACTATTTAGTTTCTCAAGTGAGAATATAAGAATACATACTTAACGATCGACGGAAGTCGAAACAAATTTTGACGATAACACACACAAAAAAGAACGAGTAGCGTGACACCAACTAGTTATTTCTTTTCAATTTTTACGACCTAACTAACATAGGTTCCTTGTCCCTCTTTAAAAATGTTTGATTATGGAACAAATTTGATTATCGAACGCATAATAATCCCAAAGAATAGAGGAATCTATAAGCTTAAAATTTTCGCAGATCAAATTATTTTATCGACTACCTCGGGAACCTATCGGCAGAGGCAGGTAAGGAGTGTCGGCGGGCTGTGTCGCGAGCCTAACAGATTTAAAACATGACGTCACCCTAAACTGCCAGTACGCGACCGTTTGCGTTTGCATGAAGCAGGAAAATTAGTTTATAAACCATAATATCACTTACTTTTGGAATATTCTACCAGAACTAATCTTTTAAACGTACTGTACCATAAATAATTCCAGTAATCATCACCTACTTCGTCTTTTGGCGAATGCGCTTTTCCATGCGTGAAAACTATAGTTTAACTTCTCTCATTTACGCGATTTCAGTAATAAAAAACTAGAATAATTTCTGCCACATTCATACGTGGCAAAGTTTATTGAAGTTAAATCTAAGATATAAAAATGAATATTGCCTTTAAGATAACAGAACATTACTTTCCTCAATACAAGTCTGACATTGCGACAATATTCGAATCTTGTTTACAGGACAAATTTATAATTCAACACTACTCATCGCCATTGATTCTTAACAGTTTAAGTTGATTGCAGTGAAAAAAACTGGTCATCGAAATTAGATAACAAGACAAAATTTTGCATATTTTTCTAAAAAACGGAATTAAACTAATCTTTTAAGTTGCGCAGTTCAGTGTTGGCCAGGATCTATGATTTAAGAACTAAGGTTTCGTTCAATTATTCCATGGGCGTCGTTATATATTTTAGCCAAGATAGAACTGTCACAGACCAGAGACCACCCCTGAAAATCGAATGGATGAGGAGTTTCGGTTATTGTAATCTAAAAGATGGCGTACATAAAATGCATGCAACGCTTTTGAAACGACTCCTATAGAATAAACTTTTTAGTAGTGAAGCTAAAGTTGGAGCAAAAATCACCTAGAATTCGACGGTAGGTTGCATCATCAATGAAAATTAGAAGAGCATATGCAAAAGCTATCGTTGCCGTGCGCTAACGTGAATGCGTCGATGCGAAAGCATTATACCTAGTATTATCGCAAAGGACAAAATGACGGGTAGCCGTTTTTCTTTCAAATAGGTAAATCTGCGATTCGAGGTTTTACTTGTCTAAAATTTAAAGGCATAAAATATCTGCTAGTTTTTTTACCAGTTTACTTGCGAAAAAAAAAAATACGTCAGTGAGTGACACAGCTGTGAGCTGGCTGAGGTCCTTCTGAAAATTTGGAGTCAAATCAAATACTCAGTCATGTGCTTCACCTTCCCATATAGTTGATCATCGTTTGATCCCTGACTATTGGAAAATTGAGTTCAGAAAATCTGTTCCATTCGGACCACAAAACTTAACACCAAATAGTAAAGCAGTTGCAGGCCTGCAACTAGCTACGGTAGGTAGTCTTCACTGACGAATTCTATAGGTACGGTACTTACGTAGGTAAATGAAAACTTTAGATACACGACGTTTATGAGAAACAAACAACAATGGAAACAAACACTAGCAGGCAAGAGACTGATAGATATCGGCAGATTAAAGACCTTATAGGTCATAGTACAGGGCTACAGCCTCTACAGGCTACGATCATAAATTAAAATCGTAGTTTGAAATCGTCTACGGCCGAGACTGAAGCCTGAAGGGGATTCTGACAGCACAGTTGAAAGATCGACATAACACCAACTTTAAAATCTAGGTGTGTACAACTCAGCACAGTCAGAATTGGTTTAATAACTTGCTTTCATTGTATATACCGTAAATAACAGGGACAATCGACACAATTAATAGGACTAACATCAACAATGTCACTCAAGTGACAAGTCACCACAGCACTACTTACGTCGCCGGCCTTCGATAGGCGATTTATTTTTAAACAAACCCTGATCCACAAGTCCCCAACTTTCTAGCGTGATCAAATCAGCTTTGTTGTTAACTAAAAAGGTGGTAATTTAACCCTACAAATCACAGTTTGACCACTAATAATTTTTTTATTAGTATTGTACTGCATCACCTCAGCTGAGTGGCGACTCGTGTTAGCTGAAGGTGATAACGCCGATTTCACTGGTAAGTTATTTAGATGAAATTTATTCCCAGCACTTACTGCATCACCTCAGCTGAGTGGCGACTCGTGTTGGCGGAAGGTGATAACACCGAATTTTACTGGTAAGTTATTTAGATAAAATTTATTCCCCGCACAGATGAAGTGATTGTAACGGAAGAGGCAGGTAGGTTGAGTAATGCACCGTGTAATGAAGCTTAGAAGTCCCAACGCCAAATATGCGCAATGGGTCAGCGACTCAGCGGCCAGCGCTAAGATTCACAAGCAGCGGTTGACGCACACATGTGCCATTCAAAATTTTCGTAATCAACCCTAGCTTCTTTACCTGAAGTAAAGTGGGTGCGGACGACAAACCCAAAATCACAGTAGTAAAACGGCCGTAACTTTTCAGAATTTAAATCTTTTACTTAACCACAAAAACTCAGCACAAATGTGCGCGATTCAGAGTAGCAACGAGACGTGCACACGCACACCACCTGTGACCGGTACGTGGAGACTGAGCAATGAGCTAGCTCTGGCCCAGACGAAGTCGGTCCCATGGAGCGCTTCACAAACGGCCGAACCCAGCACCGTGCCGCCAACTCGTTGCTGCCTCTCGTAAAAAAAAAACAAGCATTTGCCTCACTGAAACAGGCACTACTTCCTGTACCGATAACTCAACTCTACATCTTTCTGCTGGTCACTGGGGAAAGACCGAAACATAAACATAGATATTCAGGAGAACAAGAAAATTTTGTAATACATGTTTACACGTCCAAATGTCTTCAAAGAAGCCACATTTTATTTTTTTACGATATTCTGAAACGGATTATCTAAAATTTAATTGGAAGATTGATTTATCCAATCAATATATAATCAATCGTCCATTGATCGATAGACTGTAGGTAAATAAACTGAGTGAGAATTGTTAAGAAGATTGACCGCGTTGAAACTGAAATGATGCCAATTATTGAAATCATAGCAGACCATGGAAGTGTCGGCCCTGCAGATAAGGCCAATCATGCTCGGGTAACTCAGATTTAACGCAGTGGGTCTCACGATGAGATTTCACCTACATTCTTATATGAATACATCACAATACGCGTCGATTACCAATATTGATGATTTAAAAATGAATTACGAGGTATTTTTCAAAACACTCGCCGGACTTCTGCACTTAGATTTTAGATTGACAGCGATCGCATTGATACCTTATTGAGTTAATAATTCTCTTTATTAGCGCAATGGCTCTTAACGAGAAAGGTAGCTTTTTAACAAAATGTTTCATCAGCGTTTCTGTACACCTTCATTCAAATCCTTATTATAAATTAATTTTCAGTATTTAATAAATCACAGCCTGGAATAAGCGTAATCATGTTCAAAATTCATAACGCTATGTCATAAACTTGTAGAAGCAAAAACCGCGTTTTTCTCTGTAGTTACTGAGCGCAGTTCATTTCCGACCTACCGCTCACAGCTGAATAAATTTAGATTCAAGAAATTCGTGCAAATGGATCCATCTCACTTGGCTGCTGATTTTCATTGTGATAGTGTGAAGACCAAAGCAGGATTGCAGCATATTTGATGCCTTAATAAACCAAAATACTATTATTACGTTTCCTGAAATAAGCGCTTGGTCACACAAGAATTATTGGTCACAAGAATTTTTCTTGTGTCTAAGTAGACAAAACGGCAAAAATTAACAAAAATAGATCAGTACTCATTGCAATGAGCGACAGAGAGCGCATTTTCTCGTGCACGGACGGACATGACCATGGTTGAACTAGTATAGTTCAACCATGGGACATGACGAGCACAATAGCGCCTTTTTTCCATAAATGAGAAAATGCGCTAAAAAGGCTTCGTCTAATTTGACCACATATAAATATCCCTACCTTCCACGTTTAAAACCAAGGCTAAAATACTAACATGGAAAAAATAAGTCAATTCAACTTTTATTAAACGCCAAAGACTTGAGATTTGTCAGGCCACACGCCTGAATTCCTCTGATGCGAGAAAAATAAGAAACAATACCTTGTCAATATAAGTCCTAAATGCCAGTCGTATGGCATACAATTCCCATTTTGAACCCGGAATCAAATGAGTAAAAAAAATTGATACTAAAAAAAAACCACGTTCAGTACTTAAATTTTTGTCAATTTACTAATGACTTGGTGTAATGACGGGACTCTCGAGTTCAGGCCTTAATGTACGAATAGCATTGATGCTTAATATATCCTTGGAAAAAGGGTTAAAAAATATAAGTTACTATCAAAAAAACATTCACAGGCCAAATAATAAGTCAATATCTACATTAGGGATTGGAATGAAACACATTTTCTTGTTGCGAAAAGTTCAATTGGCAGCATCATGAACCTGATCATAAGCCAGATTATTTATTCGACAAGTTGAATCATGCACCATGAAAAGAGGGCTTAACGTCTAATCGCAACATTTATCCCAACGATTGGGAAACATTGACCAGGATATCCACGAGTTATCCCAAAGATCGGGAAATATCGACCAGGATGTCCATGAGGTTTGTACCGATCCTAACCACCTGACCGGTTGCAATGCGGGCAGATGGAGACTGCATTCTGTCCGGGGCTCCTGCAAGATGAGATTGAATTTTTTTCAATAAAAATGAATAATAACAAAATACATATTTATTTAACAAAATACAAAAATACTTAGAGAATGGGAGGTTAGGCAAGCTATTCTAATTTTTATCGACATTAAAAGGGAGCTAGGAATAAATGATCGAAATTAAAGCTTTTCGTCAGTGCTGGAAAAGAACGTGAAACAATGTTACGGTCAAATGTACAGTAACTGACAAATGTTAGCTTAGAGAATAGTGTAAACTGGCAATTACACGATAAAATTAACCATGGATTATGCGCCAACACATGGCGTGCTGCCGCTTGATGGTTACTTTATAATATACACAATGAGTGGTTATATAAGCTAATCCTAAGACTTAGGGGTATTGTCTCAACACTAATTTATGCCAGGGGCCGTATTATCAAAACTGGCTCATGTACGCGTAACGGCTGATTTCACGTCTATGATTGGAGAACTTAGCTTAAAAATCCGTCAGTGATTTGCTGATGGAATTAAGAACTCTAATTAAGGCGTCAGAACCTAATACTGGACTCACCATTGACAAGGGCCGATTTGCTGACTGAATTAAAGAACTCTAAGGTCTGCGTACATCAATATTGTAGGCTGTTATTTTCGAACAATATCGGAGATTATCGACGTGTCTCAATATTATGAACCGTTATTATGAGAGAATAACGGATATCACCAACACACCTCAAAATATTATACACTAATATGGTAAAATAACGCGTATCAACTATCAATAACACATATCAATTTGGAACAATAGCGGTTGGAATATGAACCAATATGATGAAATTAAACGGAATATGGAACAATATGATGGAATTAAATGGAATATGGAACAATATGATGGAATTAGCGCTTCAGGTCGAGCCATCTTCAGGTCGAGCCATCTCGCGCCGAAAGTCACACCGGACAGTATTGGCTAGGGGTAAATTACGTCACTTGTATTTGGTGTTGTGCGGATCATATGTAGATAAATGCATTGATTGCTATGATGGAATTAAAGCGGCCTACATACCTCAATGTTGTAGGCATCCTGCATGTAGGATTAAATGGAATATGGAACAATATGATGGAATTAAATGGAATATGGAACAATATGATGGAATTAAATGGAATATGGAACAATATGATGGGATTAAATGGAATATGGAACAATGTGATGGGATTAAAGCGGCCTACACACCTCAATGTTGTAGGCATCCTGCACGGCGCGGATCTCTCTGATGATGGAGCGCTGCGCCGCTTCGATACCAAAAGTGCGAGCCATATCGTTCGTGTACAGACGGTTTATGTCCAGCATGTGTGCCCATTCTATCAATTTCTGTAAATTAACAAAATTAATTAAGCTGCAAATTACCAAAATGAATTAAGCTGCAAATTACCAAAATGAATTAAGCAATCAGACATAAAACTAGTGTGCTTTATGATCAGGGTACGCTAGTGTGCTTAAAAATGAAGGGGTCATAGTATTTGTGAAGAGGTTGTTAAAACAATTGAGAGATAATACAGTTTGCAGAAAAATTCATGCTAATAGACATCATATAGAGGTGAGAAAAATGAGCATAAAAAGAATGTATGTTACCAGAAATTGTCACCATCTCGAACACACTACAAAATTAATCCTATTCAAAATTCGTGGAGTAATCAAGTGTTTAGTGATAGTTAACAATTAATGATAATGATATGGGTTTAAGGCTTGCAAGTTGATGCCTATAAAACTTACGACGTCGTTGACACCCTTGGCAGATATATGATCAATGACAAAAATTGTAAACATTGATATTTATCAAATAAATCAGGTTTCCAATGATCATTATTAATTAGAGGGAATAATTTTACCAAATATTAAGAACAATTCGAACATTTGGCATTAGTTTTGAACCCAGATCAAAGTCGAGTTTGAGCTCAAATCATTGTAGATTATGAACACAAATCGTTGTCGATTTTGAACTCAAATCGTTGTCTACTTTGAACTCAAATCGTGGTCGATTTTGGGCTCAAATCGTTGTCAATTTTGAACTCAAATCGTTGTCAATTTTGAACTCAAATCGTTGTCAATTTTGAACTCAAATCGTTGTCAATTTTGAAACCAAAAATCGCTGTCGATTTTGAACTCAAATCGTTGTCGATTTTGAACTCAAATCGGTTTCGATTTCGAGCTCAAATTGTAGTCGATTTTAACTCAAATCAAACATGACTTCAAACCCAAATTGATGTCGATTTGGCACTTAAGTCAAAGTATAATACACATCGATGCAAATTTTGACCCTTTATCGATAACAAATCTAGAATCCAGATTGATATCGACTTCGATCTAAACTAAGGTTGACTTTGAAGCCAAATCAATATCGATTTATAACCCAAAATCAATGTTGAATAAGAAAAATGTACAATAAAAATTGATGTCAATTTTGAACTCAAATATGGAGCTTACGTAGATATTGACACCCTCGGTCCTGAGGAGAAGCTGTCCGTCTTTTTCTTCAACGAAGGCCCGTTTGATGCCCGCTACTTTGTTGACGTAAGCCTTGCCCGCCGTGTTGCTTACGATGCTCTTGAAGTCGTATTTACGACCACAGTTTGCGATGCAGAGAGTCAGCTGCCACGGTGAAATTATTTAATTCAATTACAAATTAATCAATGATAATAATTCAGTAACAATATACAGTACTTTCACATGATAAGTGGTATTGAAGTAAAAGCAAAAGCTATCGTACTTACGACCGCAGTTTGCGATGCTCTGAGTCAGATCCCATAGCAAAATTCATCAATTTAATTCAAAAGAAATCAATGCTAATAAATCAGAAACAATATATATGTATTTCCACCAAATAAATAAAACTAAGTAAAATTATAAGCAATAGAAAAATAAATACGTAAAAAGCAGCCTAAAATTTAATTTCACGAATCGAAAAAATTATCCATAAAAACACATGCAGTTTCTGGGATGGCTTTCGCCACTAATGTGGCCACGCTAAAATTATCAATATTTTCAAATTTATCAATTTCAAATTATCAATATTTTTTTCAACCATTCAGGCAGTCTCCTTATAGTTTAGTTCATTCGACGGTTCGTGGAATGCCGAACCACATTCAAGGCGACAATACAGCCTTTGCGTCTATGTTAATTTGACTACAAGCATGCTGGAGATATTCATTCGGTGAAGTATTCACCATCATTTGGTACTGAATTACCCACCATTCGGTTAAGTATTCACCATCATTCGGTACTGAATTATCCATCATTCTGTTATGCATTCACCATCATTCGGTACTGAATCACCCATCATTCTGTGATGCATTCACCATCATTCGGTACTGAATTATCCATCATTCTGTTATGCATTCACCATCATTCGGTACTGAATTATCCATCATTCTGTGATGCAATCACCATTATTCGGTACTGAATTACCCATCAATTCGTGATGCATTCACCATCATTCGGTACTGAATTATCCATCATTCTGTTATGCATTCACCATCATTCGGTACTGAATCACCCATCATTCTGTGATGCATTCACCATCATTCGGTACTGAATTACCCACCATTCTGTGATGCATTCACCATCATTCGGTACTGAATTATCCATCATTCGGTTAAGTATTCACCATCATTCGGTACTGAATTACCCATCAATTCGTGATGCATTCACCATCATTCGGTATTGAATGATCTATCATTAAGTGAAGCATTCACCTTCATTCTATGAAGCATTCACCATCATTGCGCGATGCATTCACCATAGAGTCACTTCACACCATACTTCGCCAATGCAGCCTAGGACATCTTAGAGATATTAATATTGTATAATTAATTATTGATTCATCATCGTTGAGTGCAGCATTCACCATCACTCTGTGATGCAATCAAAATGATTTGGAGCAGAATTCAGCATGATTTGGTGCTTTGACGGTATCGAACTCATAAGCGACGACCTTGCTGCTCATGGCCACCACGGCCTTCACGCGCCGCTGTACCTCGTCTGGCGACAGCGCTGAGCGCCCTCTGCCTCCTGAAAACTTTGTGTCAGCTTCGATTTCCTGCACAAATGTTATACAGTATATAGTAATGTAATAATGTTTGGTTCAAAATAATGCCAGTTTTATTAAGAACTTCTTTTGAGTTTAATTTCTCAAGCTTTCTGATAAAAAGTATACAGTAATGGCGACAGCGCTGAGCGCCCTCTGGCTCCTGAAAACTTTGTGTCAGCTTCGATTTCCTGCACAATGTTATACAATGCATAGTGATGTAATAATGTTTGGTTAAAAATAATGCCAATTTTATTAAGAACTTCTTTTGAGTTTGATTTCTCAAACTTTCTGATAAAAGGTACACTAATTAATGTATATAATATCGTAATATAATGTATAAGTAATGTTATACAATTACAGTTATATAGTTATTAATACTTGAATATTAATATCATTAATAGGTACTCTATAACTTTATGATTTTTGCCTCATTCTTGAATAAGTATTGTGGTCGCTAACTAATCAATAACAAAAAAAAACTAAGAATTTATATTGAGTAACTTTTTGCTAACGAGTGTATTCATTTGTTCGTTATGAAAAAACTCAGAAGCCAATCGCTACTATTAAATTTAAAGGAAAAATATTGAAATGATAACTAGGTATATGAAATTTACAACATCATCACGCCAACGAATGAAAAAATACTTAATATTCGTTGGCGTAATATTAAGTAGTATTCATAATATTCTTAATATTTAATATATATACCAATAAAAAACATAAAATTAATAAAATTCATAATATTCGTAATATTGTTAATATTAATAAAAATATAAAATTAATATTAATGAAATTAATATTAATAAAAAATTAAATTAATAATAATTTAATATAATTAAAATACTAACATTTTCGTCCTCTTCATCGTCATCTCCGTTCTCTCTGGGGACTTTCTTTGTATCAACTTCCATCTCATCATCCCCTTCATCCTCCTTCTCTTCTTCATCCTCTTCATCATCATCGTAATCTTCTTCGTCCTGCCTCTTCTGACGAGCTTTGTCGGACAGGTCTGTGTCAGGGTCATTCCCTGCGGCGGCGTCCTGCGCACACGTGCAAACATTAACACGAAATCAACGAATACGTCACTACAACACAAATCACACACGAATACGTCACTATAACACTAATCGCACACGTGCAAACATTAACACGAAATCAACGAATAC